TAGAGTTGCACAATGAGATGTTATTCTGGTCGGTCTTGTTATCAGTGGAAATAAACCCATGCTGTACATGGAATCAATAAATTCTTCAGTACTCTTATGATTTGGATTCAATAGGTCAATATTAAAATCCCCACAAATAAACATTCTTTTCTGATTAATATTTGTAAATAATTCCTCCATATAGTCCTTAAATATCTCAATCTTGGATCCTGGTGTTCTGTATATACAACTGACAATTCAATTTTTCCCCTTTTCCATACTTATTTCCACTGTTAAACATTCCATCACTCCATCAACAACAGTCATCATTCTTCCTGTTCTTTCATATTTTAGGTTTTCATTGCTGTCATACCCCAATGTCTCATTTTCATCATCTATACGAGTTGTCGGTTGTAAACTGTCAGCCATCCGAGTTGGTTGTGCATCTTAGATCTTCCCCTCATATTTCGCTCTGATTTTTCAGTTATATTTTTCTAGTTCTGTCATCTCGTTGATGACTAGAACCTTAGCCTGCTCTGGTGTTCCATTCAACTTAATATTTTACAGTCCGACGTCCAAGTTGCCCGTATTTTCTTCAGTTTTCTCAAAAAACTTGCACTGAATTATGATTTATATCGTATTGCCAGACTCTTGCAATACACACCCCTAATTATGACTACTTGTCACACTGTAAAGCGTTCTCGGTCTTCTGAATGTTTACACAAGAATTTAATCATCTACACTCATAACTTCGTCAAAGTAAAAAGCACTGGCGCCACCGGTCCCTCCGACCACCTCCAGCAGGCAACCTGTGCCACCGTGGCAAAGTGTTACATCTGGAGCATTATGGTAAATGACCTGTATTTGTTTAGTGCCTTCCTAGGGGTCTACAACCCCCCAGGGCGCTAGTCATTAACCCATTCACACACACACATTCACACGCTGGTGATGATGAGCTACAATGCAGCCACAGCTGCCCTGGGGCACAATGACACAGAGGAGTCCTGCCGAGCACTGGCGCTTTGCTAATTCACAAAAGACGCCGACTCCTCGGCAGCAACAAAACAACAAGTGCCCAATAACCCTGAAATTGATTCAGCTGTTTCAGAGACGACCAAAATATTTAAAGCTGTTATAATGAATCTGTAAACAAGCTAGGTTTTGAACGCAAACACAGTAACGGAACATTCACCCCTCCCATTGGATATTTTCCCTAAAGCGCTTCTGCCGGAACTGGAAACCCGTGTTGCCAGAGGATACGAGAGACCTAAACGTCAGTCGCCATCGTCTATATCTAAGAGTATTTTGTTGTCCGTGAATTCATATGGTGTTTTTCTTTTTGGGACTTAAGCAGTTTGTCCTAAAGTTGATGCAGTAGCAGCTGGCTGTTTCTCCTTTCTTTGATATTTTTGGGTAAAGAACCTCTCGCACCAGTGGCATTCTGTTGCTAAATACAGGAGTGTGTTATGAGTGGAGGACCCAGGGAAATGTGGAAGTGTGGCGGGTCAATGAGGCCAACAACCAGACAGCACAATGGTTGCCTTCAGTCTAAAAACATGTTACTGGTGGAGGTTTTTAGACAAATGCAAGAAAACCACTTTATTTATTTATTTATTTTGTCTCCACAATATATTTTTAACTATACTATGTTAGAATGTTGTTCAGAGGCATGAAAAAAATATTTAAGCCAATTTATTTTTAAAATTTTACATTGTAGCTTAAATTCCATTTAAGTATAATAACTTATTTTGTCAACCTCTTTTAAAACACAGAAATTGTCACTACAAGTTTCCAAAGTCAACATAAGGATAACTCCACATTCCCAAATGCAATTGTCATAAAGTAGGAAATTTTCAGTCCTAAATGTAGCCAAATTTTACTTCTAAATAACACACCCAAGACCATTTTAAAACGACTCCACATACTGTGTATTTATGTGAAGTACACCAATAAACTCGTGAAAACATTTGTTTCTAATCTGACAAATCTGTGTCTTTATCACACAAGTCATCTACTGGTGGTGGTCAGAGGGACCGGTGGCACCTGCGTACAGCAGCCTCGCTTCTGTCCGTCAGCCCCAGGGCAGCTGTGGTTACGATGTAACTCATCATCACCAGGGTGTGTATGTGTGAGCATGAATGACTGTGGCGTAAAGCACCTTGGGGGGTTCTAGGACTCTAGAAGGCACTATATCAAATACAGGCCATTTACTCGAGTAAAAGAAAAAGTAAAATAATGCTTATGTTTACCGTGTTGTTTGAGTCGGATTTCATTAACCTCTAAAATGTTTTCAGCAAAAAATATACAAAATCATTGCAAAAAGACCCACTTACAGTACTACTTTTGAGTGTGAAAGTCTGCCAGGGAAGGTCAGTATTTTCCACACACTGACTGCACTAACAAACACAGCTTCATCCTCAGTGTTTGCCAATCAGCCCAATTTGGATTCGATATCAGTGGTCATCCTACAGGAATTCAAGAATCTGGTGAGTCAGCGAGGGAGGTTTTAGTTTCCAAGTGTCATGGGAGATGAGAGTTGGTTAAAAAGTGCACACACACACACACACACACACACACACACACACACACACACGCACATACACACCAAGTCTCGAGTTTTCCTTGTCATTTTCGGTGCTCAAGCACCACACAATCTGCTGACTATCATGGTGTCAAGAATGTCAGAGTGAATAATAGTGATCTCAGGTCGTGTAAAACTCTGGTCTGAAATATGCAACCTTTTGGGTTTGTAATGCTGAGAATACAAACCAACTGGAGCAGTCTGCAAATCTGAAACAATGCATTTATGTAGGAAAATAATTCGACAACTTACCAATGCCATAGGCTTTGGCAAACAGCCATCGCAGATTGGCAGCTATTTTTGCTCGGGCGGAGTCATACATTTCCAGGGGTACGACATCCATTGTGGCTTCTCCAGCCCCAGCCAGTTCTCCTTTCTTCCTGGTGCTGTCCCCACCAGTACTTGAATCAACATCCATCCTTGGTTTAAAAATAATAATAATAAAGAAAAAAAAGCATACAATCAAAATCTAAAATAGAGGGAAAGTAGCGGAGTAAAAACAACTAAATTATGGTATGGGAGTCATTCATAAGCTGTAAACACACACTTAGGCATGGCTTGTAAATGGATGTTTTCTCTATATATCAAAGTATGCACGCAGTAATTTAGATGTTTTTTGAAATTTCTTTTGGATGCAAGTAAACTAAACACTGTTCTGAATTAAGTATCTAGTATTTTTTATGTAAAACAAAAATTGCATTAGAGTATAGTTACAATAAACGTTCTGATGCTGGTCAAATTAAGATAATAAAAAAATTGCATCAAATGACTGTATAAAATAAACGATGCTACAAAACTATGGTCATTGTTCTAAAAATTTAACATTTTTGACTTGTCCTTTCTCTATTTAAAAGTAAATGCAACTGCATCTTCTCTCCAAAAATGATAAATTACGCATATTTTCTCAATTATTTCAGGTATTTTTGTGACTTTCTTGTAAGACATGGCCTGGGTTAGACAGAAATCCATAATTTACCCTAGGATACATCCTTGAGCTGCATCTTACCACAGAGCTGCTTAAAGGTGTTGCCTTACCTACTCAGACGACACCAGTCATTGTTTTTGTTTCTCTCGGGCGAGCTTGGTTAAATCAGCTTAGTTTGGAAACTGTAGCTTTACATTGGTGCTTTACCAGGTGGCTACGGCCTACAAGGGAGGCAACTGAAGAAACTACACCTTGAATTAAGTGTTTCAAAGCCCTCCTCTACAAAGCAATAACCGTTAGCCATCCCCACTAAACTGGGAGCCTTAGCGGCTGGCCATGCAAATGGCTAACAGCTAACTACCGTTAGCTAACATTTAGCTGGCTGTGCACCACTACGGTATTCATTGAATGACGTTAGCTCACGCAGGAAAGACATTACCTTTTAAAGGTGTGGCGTACTTCCAAGTCACCCTTTGGTCCCGTCGGGTTAAACAGTTAACCAAACACCTGCCTGGTTAAAAAGTGGCCTGCTGGGTTGAAAATACAGCAGCTGCAGAGACGCATCGTAGCCGGCTAATAATGCTAGCAGAGGAGGCAAGTCCGTGTGGTCTCCTCCCAGCAACAGAACCCGATTCACGGCCCGGGTGACAACCGCTCCACGGCAGACAAAAAAGACGGTGGTATCTCCAGTGAAGAAGCACGACTTGCACTAATTGTTTTGTTAAAAACCTATCGCTGTATTGAATGCCTCATACTAGTTAAAAGACACGTTTCTTTTGTAGCTCGGGATAAGCTGAGAGGATCAGCAGCGCTCTTCAGCCTCCCTAAATGTGCCAAGTGCGCATGCGTGATTGCCTTCCAAACTGGCACTAAATGGCTTTGTAAATTATGACTACGAATCCTGCATAGTCCTTTATTTCTGCTGTGAAGTGACTGCTTTTTATAATACAGAATAATCATTACTAAATAAAAGTAAATTTTCTTCCTTTTCACGTATTTTCTAAATGTGTTCAGTCCTCAGCATAATCCCTTGGGCAGTACGACTGCCAAATTCTTAGTAACACTCAACTATTAGAGAGTAATAGTTTCGTTCTAATATGTTTTGTTATGAATGATAAACACCTTTTTAATTGTCAAAGCACTTGTTAACTTTACCCAACGGTGACATCTAGTGGTGAAATGTGATATAGGAATTAGAACGGTATTTCATAATTGAAAGTAATGGTAAATGTGAAAAAATAAAGAATTTTTAATCTGAAAATTTATTTTGTTTATAATTTTATTATATCTAATCACAAATTTCAGTTATTTTTGCTGTTTGTCAATATGTATGGAAAGTTTGAATACTTATTTCTGCTTTGATGAACAAAACGAGGAAATGTCCTGTAGTACAGACGTTTACAACACCCTGACAACATAAAACAGTGACTTCTCTTTAAGAAATTATATACATTGCTTTTCATCTATGCTTGCTTCCCTAATTCAATTTCCACAATGAGTTCAAAATCCAAAGAATACAGCCAGAAAAACTTTAATGTGAGGATGTTTTAGATGCCAGCAGCCGTGATGAGACTGACAGAAGAAAACCAAAAACAGAAACGGAGTAGATTGCATAGACTGTTGATCTGGGACAACGTTGTGTTGTCAGTAGAGAGAAAACATCAGGTGACTCCAACATCTTCAACTCTTCAGGATTCAAAGGCAACAAAGTTCCTTTCACTTCCTGTTTGTTATTTTGAAAGATGACTGCATTTCCTGTGCATCGTTTCCTTTTAAGTGTACAATCTCCCAATGCTTGATTCACAGCAATACAATAAAGGTCCGCTTAAGAGTGGAGGCTTCCAGAGACGTGTTAAAATCCACCCTCGCTCAAACATGTTGCACCACTTGAAATCACGCCAACCCACCAGTTTCATAACAAGCACATCCGTATACTGGCTTGTAAAACAGCAGCTGAAGCATTTATATGTTCACATTCGAAGATAAGCTTTGAGGTCTGCTAGAATATTATAAATAAGATCAAGTTATGAGTTTGGCTTTCATATAAATAATGTAATACAACATAGTTCAAACAGACACCTTATTCCAAAAGCATTTTTCAAATATTGCTTTTATGAAACCGTGTTCTGAATTGTTCTTTTTCACCAAAAGGTTTTAGAGATTTGTTAAAGCCAAACTAGCAGGAGTTGAGCAGGGGTTTGCCATAACAACAATCTAAAAGCCTCCCTGAGCAGAAAGTCACATCAGTACTACATGTGTAGAATAAAACACTCAAAAGTACTACATGTGTAGAATAAAACACTCAAAAGTACTACATGTGTAGAATAAAACACTCAAAAGCTTGGCAGAAAAAACAAGACAACCAAAAACACACCATATTGTTTTTTATCTTATTTAAACTAGTAGAGGTAAAGAACCCCAACTTTTAGCTGCAGAGTCCTCAATGCAAAGGCTAATAGCGTAAAACAAACCTTTGTATTCAACATATCTCTAATATTCCGATGGGATGCATGTCCTTGTAGGTTAAAAGACGTACTTATTGCACAGAAATCGTTCTTTTTATCCTCCGTTGGGTAGAACTGATGACAAGGCATTTTACACAGGAACATTTGGGTTTGGTTGACAGCATAAACTCTACACAGGATGCATGTGTGTGTGCATAAAGATGCCCAGCAGCATGAAGCGAGCACACATCAACATCATTCAAATTTCAGGTTTAAAAGGCAAACCCCTCTGATCAGGCTCAGCTCCATTCAAGACCTCGCTTTGGCCTTTTCACTCAGAGCATTAACCCTTGTTTTAACTTCCACGCTGCTGCAGTGAGCACAATTCAAATAAGTCAACAAGTGCTAAATGAGCTAAACATATGACAGTCACGTCAATTTGAACAAAAAAACACGCAGGCCTACTATAACATGTAAAATCAAGACTGACTTCCAATTTAGAGTCTCCAAAAAGGCTAAAAAACAATCAAATCTGTTAAAAGAAGTCATGTTGTTGTCTTTGAACTGAGAGGCAGGTGACCTACGGCGACCTTACTGGTGCAAACAGAGAGGTCACATTTCTGAAAGCCCGTTTTCAACCATCGGTGTTTAACTGAGACTAAAACCAGCTCTAATGATGACTAAAACAAGAAGAAACCCAAAAGTCTTCCACACACTCACTATTAATGAAATGCAACAATCCAAAGAACCAGACAAAACTGTATTTGATATTTAAATATGGTAAATTACACAAAAACAGTTTCTCAGAGGTGTAAACATTAAATGGATGTCTGACGTCTCTGACATCAAATAAATCGTGTCGGCCATACACCATTCAAATGTAAAAACAACATATAAATCTCTATTTATATTATTACTGTAATAATAATATTTATTCTGTATAAGTGTTTCACTGTATAGTTATAAATAGTGTAACTTTGACTCTTCTGGCTTTGCTTTAACAAGGCAAAAGGAGAAAAAACTATTCCACATTCATACTCGTCATTTTCAGCACGATCACACAAACAGACGTAACAGTCCACACGGAGTCTCCACAAGGCTTCATGTGCGGTTCAGGGTCTGGAAGATTCTGGATATCTGCAGCATGACCGGACCGGTCTCTGGGTCATTCATCCACTGGGTGCTGTTTAGTGGATTCTCCAGCATGTCTTCGAACGCTGCACAAAAAAGCACAAGAGCTAAACCACGACACCACGCTTCTCACACTCAGTTTACACTCATTCATGTTCAACAGCCTGGACATCTAGACCAACCGTAGTAGGAGCTAAAGGTTTAGCTCTTTTGGACTAGCCACAATCCATCGTAGTCTCAGCAGGTCTGCTACTGTCCTGCACCGTTTCATTTATTATTATTATTATTATTATTATTAATTATGGTGGCAGAAGCTGGTGTGGTCCACCACGGAGAAGCTGCTCTAGCATGATGACTTTAATTATTCTACAGGTTATTGTTAGCGGCTGCGTCTGACTGCTGACACTCGCTCACACACACACACACACGCTCACACACACACACACACGCACGCACGCACGCACACACACGAGTGGCTGCGTCTGACTGCTGACACTCGCTCACACACACACACACACACACACACGCACGCACGCACGCACGCACGCACACGAGTGGCTGCGTCTGACTGCTGACGCTCGCTCACACACACATGCACACACACACACAAGCTCACACACACACGCACGCACGCACGCACGCACACGAGTGGCTGCGTCTGACTGCTGACACTCGCTCACACACACACACACACACACACACACACACACACACACACACACACACACACACACACACACACGCTCACACACACGCGCACACACGCACACACACACACACACACACACACACACACACACACACACAAGCTCACACACACACACACAAGCTCACACACACACACACACACACACACACACACACACACACACACACACACACACGCACACACACACACACACACACACACACACACACACACAAGCTCACACACACACGCACGCACGCACGCACGCACACGAGTGGCTGCGTCTGACTGCTGACACTCGCTCACACACACACACACACACACACACACACACACACACACACACACACACACACACACAGCTCACACACACGCGCACACACGCACACACACACACACACACACACACACACACACACACACACACACACACGAGTGGCTGCATCTGACTGCTGACACTCGCTCACACACACACACACACACACACACACACACACACACACACACACACACACACACACACACACACGCTCACACACACACACACACACGCTCACACACACACACGCACGCACACGCACACACACGAGTGGCTGCGTCTGACGGCTGACGCTGCGTGTGTGTTTAACTCACCTCACACCGTCCAGAGTTTGTTCTTTAAGCTTCTATTAACTCCACCGTGTTGACGTGTTTAACACGATTCCTCTACGCTGCAGGAGCTAACGTTTACATCACGGAGTAAAAGTCTGGCAGACGCGTTTGTTTATATCTGGGTGGGGGAGGGGGGCGGTGCTGCACACACACAGCTGGAGTGATCGGCTCTGAAAAGCAATGATCACAATTTGCAGATCACGTTTATTTTTCACGGGGATCGGCTGCGGGTTCCTCTTCCGTCGGAATTCTAGGAATCGAAATAAAAAACTGAAGGATTCCAGGAAAACCCAACAGTTGGTCCCGGTTCCAGTCGATGCCCAACCCTACAACAAATTGGAAATCCTGCTCAGGTTTGGTCCCGTTCTATTTTGGTTGGCAATCATGTAAACGTCCTGAGCTCCAGGCTTTAGTTTCAGGCGGTGATAAAAACAGCGAGCGAGCTGGAGTTCGTCTCCGTATACACTACTAGTGAGCAGACATGGATGAGCCGTTTTAGACTGTGAGTAGCCGCATTTCCCAGCTATCCCAGGCTTTTAGTTTGATTTAGTGGATGAGGTAGTACCTAACAGGGTCTTGGGATTGGTTAGGCCCAGCTGCACCACTGGGTTTTCTAGGATAGCTTGAAACAGAGGGCTGTCGGTGTCGATGCCTTTGTCCAGATCTTCTGGAGAAGGTTTCCTGTCCCCCAGCAGCCACTCGCACTGCCAAAAGTAAAATAACATCAAATGAAAACACAGGAAAGTTATCAACTCTGAACGGGTTCTTAAGGCATGATCAAAGTGTTTAACTGGTGAGTTTGAGCATTGTTGTGTTTTGTGCCAAACCCATTCCATAGCCAATCAAAACTTGTGTTTGTTTTCTTTTACACGTGCACGTTTACTTTAACATCTATTAAAATGCTCACTTTATAGAGATTTTTAACTCTAGTCCATTTCAGATGTATGCCACGGTGCAATCTGCTTAATGCTCTTCACATGAAGCAAACATTAAACCTAGATAAGGCATCAAGTTCCTGCTAGGGCTGCACAACATCTCGTAAATCATCAGCATGCACAACATGCATATCGCAGAGAGCAGATACATATGAACGGTCAGCTCAGATGTTTGCTAAACATAATTTATTCTGCCAATCAAACGGAAGCACGATGTTTTTTAAATCAATCAGAGCTCTTCACCCATTTGGCCAACTGGGTGGGTTCTCATAGGTCCGATGCCCGCCCCGAGGCGGACGGCACTTCATTTTAAGGGTTGGCGAACACCTGAGTTAGCTTGGTTCTGCTCTTTCTGCTGATTCTGCTTTCCCCGGGATCCTCAGGTCGCCTTTCCTCACATTCTTTATGATTCTTTTTTATTTCTTTGTTTTTGATTATTTTTGTTCCTGAGTTAAGTTTTTAATATCGTCATTGCAATATTAATCAGTGCTATGGAATATCGCAGGTTTTCCTAAAACCGTGCAGCCCTGGTTCCTGGCTTGTTGGCCTGTTTTTGTCCACGCTCAGAACTTGTTCTGGTCACACTCAAAAGTGAGCCGAAACTCAGGAGAGGGGCCTTTTTAGGATCGTAGGAGCAGAAGAGCAAGTAAAACACATTTCAGAGCAAGAAGAGATTATTTTCAGTGTGAACAGTTCTGAATGAGAGCAGAACAAGGTCTGAGTAGGAAACAACAATTAAATGCCTGAAACCAACACAACATGCTCGTGATTAAAGGCAGGAAACGAGTCCACTCCTAGAGTGCACTCATAACTAGCATCATCCGTCTGTACCGTGTCTTCTTTGTGGTTCGGTAATCACACGATTTAGCAGCAAGTCACAGACAAAATATCAATACGACTTTTTATTTCTTCTAAATTTCTCTTTGAGGGATGATTTTACAAGTAAAGGCAGATTCACGCACAGCAGTTAATGTGTTGTGGGTTAAGCTGGACGCTCGTGAAACACCAGGAATGCGTTTGTGTGCATCTGCACCTACCGCAGCATCCTGCTGGTTATTATTGACTCGCAGAGCATCGATCACCTCCTTCTCGTCAAAGCCCATTTCCATCAGTGCGACAACAGCCTGCAGAAGCAAAGACTTAAAGTTATTCCTACATCTTCTGAGGAGTCCAGTGAGCCTCTCAGGGACACAGAACTGAGAAGAAGGAATGATTTTAGCTCTAAAAAGCACACAGTCGTTAAAACGAACGCTTGAGTTTTAACTGTGAAGCTCACTCTTGAATCTGGTCTGAACTCCCTTTTCCTTCGGATTCTCTTGAAGATCTCGGTGAGTTCATCCTGCCTGCTGCTTTCGTCCGCGCTCGACTGTCTGGAGACGTTATGGAGGATGTTGGAACCAGAGGCTGAAGCTGAGGGGGCCGGTGTGGTGGCTGCTGCAGCTGCGGCTGCCCCAGAGCAGTCCTGCCCCGGTAGGGGTGAATCCACAGAGGGATCATCCACGTGCTCGATGAGCCACTCCATAGCCTGGGTCACAGACATGCTACCAGAAGAGGGGATGGAAATCAGTCTGGGATGGTTTTATACACAGCGTCTGAATAATGAGCACAGAACTAGACAGGCTTACTGGTTCAGTCTAAGAGCTCTGATTGCTCTGTTCTCAGGAAAACCCATCTCTGTCAGCTGCTGGAGGGCTGCTTCATCCACCCGATCCTCCTCGTCTTCATCCAGCATTGCTGTTGACACAAAAATCGGTTAAATTAAGGCCGGGCAGTGAAAAGACAACAGTCACTTGGATCATTTATCAGTAAGATCATGTTTTAAAATGGCTCCTAAAATAAATGCTTTATAATAAAGCTTAAAACAACTGTTTAACCCCCACTGTCCTATCGGGTGACCCCTCCAGGAAAGGTGACCGAGGGGCAGGGTTGATGGTACCTTGAGGTCCACGTGGTGCTCACTCCACACCCCTGCCACATGAACCGCAAGGGATAAACCATCAACCCTGCCCCTCGGTCACCTTTCCTGGAGGGGTCACCCGATAGGACAGTGGGGGGTTAAATAGAGACCACTGGCATTAGCTTTGCTGCACTACAGCAGAACTCTGAAACCACCAGATAAACAGCCAACCTTTCATTAAAACGAGAACTTTTACAGTCAAACTTTAATCTTATTTGTGCTTTCTTTGTTTGTTTCACACCCAACGATCATTACCGTTGGCTTTCTTGAAGAGTTCAACAGCATCAGGGTTCAAGGCAAGGAGCTTCTGTGCAACTTCAATAAGAGACACCAGGATTTTTCTGAGCTCCGTTTGAAACTGAGACACAGAAACACACACATGGATGAAACACGAACCATTTACTCCTGCTACTACAACATCTAAACTCCTCACGTCTCTGATGTTGTGCTGCGTGACAGTGCGGTCCGTGTGCCGGGTGGACAGGCTGGCAGTGGCTTTCTGGATAGCATCTTTGTCTGGAGCTTTGTTGTCGATTTTCTTCTGTTTCCACCAGAAAAACAACAAGTTAACAAAATAAACCACCCCACACACACTTTTACCAAATTCACTCAACTGTTCACACATTTCAGTGGTTTATAGTATAAATTAATGCCTTGCGAGTCGATCTAAGTGGGGGGAAAACTACAAGCTAGCCAGAGCAGAGGGGAGATGAAGACGGTAGGTTTCAGAGTAGCGCTGGGCAATACATCGAAAATTTATCGTTATCGAAATTTCTGACCCGTATCGTGATCGTTTCTCCCGCGTCAATAAATCTGATGATAAAATGTGTGTAGGTTGGCAACATTCATGTCCCTTCAAGAAGCTGTACCACCCTGAGTCACGTAAAAATTAGAGCTGAGGAAAATCATCAAATAATCGACGCACCGGGATGCGGACATAAACGGTTCTGCATCGTAGGAGAGTACGCCATCATCGCTTATAGTGGAATGTAGTTTTGTTTTTTAACGGCGGCACCAGCGCCGCATCCAAAGCTGTCAGAGCGTCCTCCACATTTACCACGTGGTTCCGCCTTAATGTGGTTCTGCAGGGCTGAGCGCTGGAGTTGTAACCCGAGACCAACCCGGAACCGTTGGATTTGGGACGTGAATTAAGTTAATTGAGTGGGTTGTCATGCGGCGCGCTCCGCTCGCTCGCACAGCAACTGAGAGGGGGAGGGGGGGGAGGGGGGGGAGGGAGAGAGAGAGAGAGAGAGAGGGGGGGGGAGGGAGGGAGGGAGAGAGAGAGAGAGAGAGAGAGAGAGAGAGAGAGAGAGAGAGAGAGAGAGAGAGAGAGAGAGAGAGAGAGAGAGAGAGAGAGGGGGGGGGAGGGAGGGAGGGAGAGAGAGAGAGAGAGAGAGAGAGAGAGAGAGAGAGAGAGAGAGAGAGAGAGAGAGAGAGAGAGAGAGAGAGAGAGAGAGAGAGAGAGATTTAATTTAATTATTGTTTCTCCTGGAAGCGCTCAGTCAGACGAGTGTTGTGATGTCGGGAGATCCGGTCTTGGGGAGGGGGCGGGGCCAGTGACGGTGGCTGCAGCGTGATCATCTTTTATTTAGGGACACGGAGAAGTTAAAAGGAGAGAGAAATAGAAGTTCTTGTTCCACTTTATTCTTTTGTTCCATGAAGATAAACTGATGTTAAATTCAGCTGAAAGAGAAGCTGGGAGGAAGTTACAGGAGGTCTCGTCTCCTATCTGCTCCTCCAGAGACAGCATGGACATGAGGGTCACATGGTGAGGGTGACACAGGACAGGTTAGTGGAAAGGTTAGTAGTTAGCTGGTTAGTGACGGAGATCCATCATCTGGGTAATTTAATCCTAATCCAGCCCACAGCCTTCTGCTGGTGTTATTATCAGGAAGAATAAAACACACACCTTAAATATTATTGGAAGTGTAGAATTTGTTTTGTGTTTTATTATTTTCTGCATCAAACAGAACTTGATTCATTCTCCAACATTTCAGAAACGAACCGCTGGGTTCAAATAAAATAAACTAAGTCAAACATTTCATTTGGTGTTACTTCTGACACCCTTCAGCTGCGGCATAAACATCTGACTCTAGAGCTGCTCAGAGACACTAAACACTCGTATATGAACCCATTATGTATTTTATTATTACATTATGTGTCCTGTAGGTTTTCAGTACTTTTTTACATTTTGTGAGTTTTTGTAAAGCGTGTTTTTCTCAGCCTGAGGCGTGGTGTTGAACCAGGAAACACATGTTTTACTTTGTTAAATCTTCTTAAATGTTTACATGTTTGTCCTAACCTGTTGTGGATGGAGAGATTTTGTCAATTACGTTTTTGATTAAAAATAAAAAGCAATTATCTGACATCTTCTATTTATTGATGAAAAAAATCACTATGAAATAATCGTGATGCATCGGGATATCGAATCGAATCGCTGACCCAATAATCGTAATGAATCGAATCAAGAGACAAGTGAAGATTCACACCTCTAGTAAAAATGTGACTCAACGTAATACACGCGGCAGCCCCATCTAGTGGACAACTTTTGTTTCTGCGCATACCTGTAGTTATTGTCCATTTATCGTTAGAGATGAAATCCTCAATAGATGGTGATATTGACTTTAGGCCGTATCGCCCAGCCCTATTTCAGAGTCTTATTTCCTGATATTCCAACGTCTCGCCTTTGATTGGCTATCAGCATCGCAACTCCACCACTGACTCTGTTTGCTTTGCACCGATGTCTTCACAAATAACACACGACTGGAGGAGTTTCTGCCGTGTTGTGGAATAGCTAATGCTAACTGTTAGGGCTGCACAATATTAGGAAAACCTGCAATATTTGATAACAATGATTAATACTGTGATGACGATTACTTGCGATAAATAAAAACTTAACTCAGGAACAAAAATAATCAAAATCAAACAAATTAAAAACTCATAAAAATGAGAAAAGCAAAAGATGTGAGGAAAGGAAAAAAGAAAATTATTGAAAAAAGACGACCTGAGGATCCCGGGAAAAGCAGCATCAGCAAAAAGAGCAGAACAAAGCTAACCATCAAAATTAAGTGCCATTCACCTCGGGGGCGGGCATCTAACCTATGAAAACCCACCCAATTGGCCAAATGGGTGAAGAGCTCTATTTGATTTGTTAAAAAAACATCATGCTTCCGTTTGATTGACAGAATAAATTATGTTTAGTAAACATCTGAGCTGACCGTTCATTGCGATATTTATCTGTTCTTTGCGATATGCATATTGTGCATGCTAATATCGCGATAACGATATATTTACGATATATTGTGCAGCCCTACTAACTGTTAGCTTCTACTACCAGAGACGTGCTCTGCTGTTTCGCAGACGCTAAATAAACAACAGACTTCGCCGTCAAGAGCCAAAATGGGCGAGCCCATGAATGCTATGTGCGATTGTCACGCTTTTCTAATTCAAGAGTTTCACCGTCTATTTTAATTCGGCGGCTAATGCAGGAAATAGGGGTAGAAGACTATTTTCACATTCAGCCTGCGTGTTAATCCCAGAGTTACCGATCACATTTCAAAACTAACAAGTGAAAACAGTACCTCAGTGAATTTGCCCTTCAACTTCAGCACACACACACACACTCGCAGACGCACACACGCACACACGCAGACGCACTCACACGCAGACGCACACATGCACACACACTCAGACGCATATGCACACACTCACTCACTCACTCACTCACACACACACACGCGCGTGCACGCGCACACGCACACACACACACACACACACACACACACACACACACACGCACACGCACACGCAGACGCACACACACACACACACTCACACTCACACACACACACACACACTCAGACGCATATGCACACACACACAGAGAGAAATGATTGATCTTACTTTTTCATCTGTACTAACATCTGCCATCTTTGGTGGGGTTGGCGGCGGCCTCTTCTTTATGAGCAGCAAAACATCTACAGAAATTCAACAATGTTTTAGTAACTATGGGATTTTGTTGGAAGGAAAGCACGTTAGATAATAAAGACATACCTTTATCTTTGAGATTTTCATCAGCAACAGTTTTAGTGTCTGTGAGGACCCTTTCTGAAGCAGCATGTATAAGTTTATGGTGAGTTAGGGTTTTGGGATCTTCTAAACTTCCGTGCACGTGCTAGCAGACAAAAACAAAATAGGAACAAAAAGAATCAAAACCAGAGAAGAATCTTTTTTTTTTTTTTTTTTTTTGTTAGATGACTCTTACCGCTCCTCCTTGAACCGTCACCTTATCGTGGTGGAGGAGTTTGAGTGCCCTAATGATCCTAGGAGCTATGTTGTCTGGGGCACTTAGTGCCCCTGGTAGGGTCTCCCATGACAAATTGGTCTTAGGTGAAGGGTGAGACAAAGAACGGTTCGAAGGATCTTTCATGGCGGTTAAAACGAAGAGTCGGAGTACCCGGCCCGGAGGGTTACCGGGGTCCCACCCTGGAGCCAGGCCTGGGGTTGGGGCCCGTGAGCGAGTGCCTGGTGGCCGGGCTTTCGCCCATGGGGCCCGGCCGGGCCCAGCCCGAACCGGATACATGGGCTCGTCCAACTGTGGACCCACCACCCGCAGGAGGAACATGAAGGGTCCGGTGCAATGTGGATCGGGTGGCAGACCAAGGCGGGAGCCTTGGCGGTCCAATCCCCGGACAAGAAAACTAGTTTTTGGGACATGGAACGTCACCTCGCTGGCGGGGAAGGAGCCGGAGCTTGTGGCAGAGGTTGAGCGGTACCGGCTAGATATAGTCGGACTCACCTCGACACATTGCATTGGCTCTGGAACCCAAGTCCTTGAGAGGGGTTGGACACTCTACTTTGCTGGAGTTGCTCCGAGTGAGAGGCGGAGGGCTGGGGTTGGCTTTTTGTTAGCCCTGAGACTCTCTGCCTGTGTGTTGGGGTTTACCCCGGGGGACAAGAAGGTAGCTTCCTTGCGCCTTCGGGTCGGGGAACGGGTCCTGACTGTTGTTTGTGCTTATGGGCCAAATATCAGTTCAGAGTACCCACCCTTTTTGGAGTCCCTGGGACGTGTGCTAGATAGTGCTCCATCAGGGGACTCCATTGTCCTGCTGGGGGACTTCAATGCTCACGTGGGCAATGACAGCTTGACCTGGAGGGGTGTGATTGGGAGGAACGGCCCACCTAATCTGAACTCGAGCGGTGTTTTGTTATTGGACTTGTGTGCAAGCCGCAGTTTGGCCATAACGAACACCATGTTCGAACATAAGGATGCTCATCGGTACACTTGGTACCAGGGCAGCCTAGGTCACAGGTCGATGATAGATTTTGTAGTCGTATCATCTGACCTGCGGCCGTATGTTTTGGACACCCGAGTGAAGAGAGGGGCGGAGCTGTCAACTGATCACCACCTGGTGGTGAGTTGGATCAGATGGCAAGGGAACATGCCGCGTAGACCTGGCAGACCCACACGCATAGTGAGGGTCTGCTGGGAACGCCTGGCAGAAGAACCTGTCAAGACGGTCTTCAACTCCCACCTCCGGCAGAGCTTTGACCACGTCCCGAGAGCAGTGGGGGACATTGAGTCCGAGTGGGCCTTGTTCCACTCTGCGATTGTCGAGGCGGCTGTTGCTAGCTGTGGTCACAAGGTGGCCGGTGCCAGTCGTGGTGGCAACCCCCGTACCCGCTGGTGGACACCAGAGGTTCGGGGAGCCGTCAGGCTGAAGAAGGAGGCCTACAGGGCGTGGCTGGTCTGTGGGTCTCCGGAGGCAGCAGACAGGTACCGGATAGCCAAGCGGGGTGCAGCAGTGGCAGTTGCCGAGGCAAAATCTCGGGCGTGGGAGGAGTTTGGTGAGGCCATGGAGAAAGACTATCGATCGGCTCCAAAGAGGTTCTGGCAAACTGTCCGGCGCCTCAGGAGAGGAAGGCAGCAACTCGCTCACACTGTTTACAGTGGGGATGGGGAGCTGCTGACGTCAACTGAGGCTATAGTCGGACGGTGGAAGGAATACTTTGAGGAGCTCCTCAATCCCACCAATGCGCATTCCGAGGAGGAACCAGAGCTGGGAGGCCTGGGGATGGACTGTCTGATCTCAGGGGCAGAAGTTGCTGAGGTAGTCAAACAACTACATAGCGGCGGAGCCCCGGGGGCGGATGAGGTTCGTCCTGGGTATCTCAAGGCTATGGATGTTGTAGGGCTGTCATGGCTGACACGTCTCTACAACATTGCGTGGTCATCGGGGGCAGTTCCTAGGGAGTGGCAGACCGGGGTGGTGGTCCCCATCTTTAAGAAGGGTGACCTGAGGGTGTGTTCCAACTATAGGGGGATCACACTCCTCAGCCTCCCTGGAAAGTTCTACTCCAAGTAGGGCTGCTCAATTAATCGAATTTTAATCACGATTACGATCTGAGTTTTGAACGATTATAAAAAACAAAACAAGCCGATTATTTGCTCCTCCCGCTTGCGCTGCCCTGAGTTACAAATGAAGCGCTCCTCCACAGTGTTGCCAACTTAGCGACTTTGACGCTATTTCTAGCAGCTTTTCAGACCCCCTTCTTGACTTTTTAATCCTAAAAGTACCTAGCGAACACCTCAGAAACATCTCTGGTAACCCTTAACTACTTTCTGGATAACGGTCGTCGACATTTCCTGCAGGTTAGCTAAACACTCCGCCTGAGCTCCGGACCGTTCTTCACAACATTAGGAAAGGGAATGATGTAGTGATGTGTCGGTCGCTAAAGACACGGCTCTCGGAGCCGGCTCCCTGTTGGAGTAACCAGAGTGAGTGACACACACACCGCACCTGCGGACTCCTGAGCAGCTAAAAACAGCTAAATGTGCGCGTGCAGCGTGCTAAACACACGTGCAGCTTGCCCGATTGCTGTGAGACCGGGTTGGGGGGTGGGGGGTGCAGCTGTGGTTGGGACAATTATTACATTAACTGATGAACTTGTAAATAAATAGTTTATAAATAAGGTAGAAATAAGTTCCTCACACTGATAACTAATAACTAACCTCTCTGAGGACACGGTGCTCCTACAGCACCTTGACACGACTCAATAAATGTTATGCAACATTTTGTGAACATCAATTTATTTGCATTCATTTGTTATAAATGCCACTGTATAATTCTTGCTGTCAGTATTTGCAAGATATTGGTATTTGGTTCTGTACTGGTTAGACTTAAATGAGTTAAACCAAGGTCTATAGCCCTTGGGTCATAGACTATGAGCTATAAGTATATTGGTCTTTTTATACTGGGAATCAGGAGTTATTTTAGTGATCATCATTTTTCTTATTCATTGTTGTCCTGATTGTGCCCTGAGCAATTTTATGACTGAATAAAAACAAATAAAATCATCATAAATTGAAAAATCGTCCTAAATAATCGTGATCTCAATTTCAGTCACAAAAATCGTGATTATTATTTTTGCCATAATCGAGCAGCCCTAACTCCAAGGTACTGGAGAGGAGGGTCCGATCGATAGTTGAATCTCAGATAGAGGAGGAGCAATGTGGTTTTCGTCCTGGCCGTGGAACTGTGGACCAGCTCTATACCCTTGCAAGGGTGATGGAGGGGGCATGGGAGTTTGCCCAACCAATCCACATGTGCTTTGTGGATTTGGAGAAGGCTTATGACCGTGTCCCCAGGGACATCCTGTGGGGGACGCTCCAGGAGTATGGGGTGGGTGGCTTTCTGTTAAGGACCATTCAGTCCCTTTACCAGAGGAGCGTGAGTTTGGTCCGCATAGCCGGTAGTAAGTCGGGCCTGTTCCCAGTGAGGGTTGGACTCCGCCAGGGCTGCCCTTTGTCACCGGTTCTGTTCATCACTTTTATGGACAGAATTTCTAGGTGCAGCCGTGGTGTGGAGTGTGTCGAGTTTGGTGGCAGGAGAATCTCGTCTCTGCTTTTTGCGGATGATGTGGTCCTCCTAGCTTCATCCAGCTCTGACCTTCAGCTCTTGCTGGGTAGGTTCGCGGCCGAATGTGAAGCGGCTGGGATGAGGATCAGCACCTCCAAATCTGAGACCATGGTTCTCGACCGGAAAAGGGTGGCTTGCCACCTCCGGGTCGGGGGAGAGGTCCTACCTCAAGTGGAGGAGTTTAAGTATCTCGGGGTCTTGTTCACGAGTGAGGGTAGGAGGGATCGGGAGATCGACAGGCGGATTGGTTCGGCGTCTGCAGTGATGTGGACGCTGAGCCGATCTGTCGTGGTGAAGAGGGAGCTGAGCCAGAAAGCCAGGCTCTCGATTTACCGGTCGATCTACGTTCCAATCCTCACCTATGGTCATGAGCTTTGGGTAATGACCGAAAGAGCAAGATCGTGGATACAAGCGGCCGAAATGAGTTTCCTCCGTAGGGTGGCCGGGCTCAGCCTTAGAGATAGGGTGAGGAGCTCGGACATTCGGGAGGGACTCGGAGTAGAACCGCTGCTCCTCCGGATCGAAAGGAGCCAGTTGAGGTGGTTTGGGCATCTGGTGAGGATGCCTCCTGGACGCCTCCCCGGGGAGGTGTTTCGGGCATGTCCTGCCGGCAGAAGGCCCCCGGGTCGACCCAGGACACGTTGGAGAGGTTACATCTCCAATCTGGTCCGGGAACGCCTTGGGGTCCTGCCGGAGGAGCTGGTGGACAAGGCCGGGGAGAGGACGGCCTGGAGCTCCCTAGTTGGGATGCTGCCCCCGCGACCTGGACCCGGATAAGCGGAGGAAGACGACGACGACGACTCTTACCGATCCTAAAGTTGCTGACGCAATTTAACTCAATTGAAAACTGAGTAAACAACTTTAAAACTTCATACATTTTTCCATTACATTTTAGAATCTGTCTTTTCAGACAGTATTTATTACTAGGGGTGTGTACTGACAAGAATCTGGCCATACAACAGGGAGCCTAACCCTGGTCTCACACTGCACGTGTCAGCGGAGCGGAACATCAGCAGAGCGGCACCGCTTCAAATACAATCCAATTATAGTCTATGGAGCGTTTCAAACTAGCCGCGACGCGGCAATCTCCAGGTGCGTCCCAGAAGCGGCGTGCCGCGCCTCGCCGCTAAAGATAGGATTGAGTTCTATTTTTTCAGAGAGCTGCTTCTGGGACACGTCAATTTTTGCAGTTCACATAGTGTGAGACAGGAAACCACATGGTTTCAGTGTAAAATCCCTGGTTATTTTCAAAATAAAATGCAATGTTGCGATGTTATATATATAACTTACATCAGTACGTGTGACCGAACGGCTTTGTGTACCACCAGTTTCTTTCTAGAAGAGCATCGGTGTGATTCCTCGTGGGGGTTGTGATCTCTCGATGAAGAAGGTATCGGAAGTCTCGAGGGATTTTAGAATCTCGCGGGTACAGCGAGGCGCAGCGAGGAAGCCGTGCCGCGGCCCAGACTCTCCCGGTGTGAAAAGGACCGCTTTGAAGATCGTGAGTGAGCCGCTCCGCTGCTGCTCCGTTCCGCTGATGCTTGCAGCGTGACACCGGGTTAAGTCTCCTCCCCTTCCAGTCGGCTCGTGTCCCCGGAAGAACGAAAAAATGAATGCAAATCATTAGGGCTAAACAAGCTTATCTGCTTTGCTTTAGACCCTGGATCGCACACGTTGCACTGAAATTTAAACGAAAACTAATGATGGTTGTTTCGAGCACGTCAGTCACATACTTTGAGATTTATCCACTTGTAAAAGTTCGTAATTAGCATGACTACAAATCAGACATCGGCACGTCGCATATATGATGTCACCACAGAATCTCCTCTCCCCTAGCTTAGCTGCTACTTACCACATGGCCAGATTTATGGTGGCTATTTCCTCCTGAAGGAAGGATTTTAAGTTCGCTGAACTTACAGCTGTTTTCTCTCCGTGACTGGTTCGATGATGTCACTTTGGTGATGGGCATTTGTAGTCCTGGACGAATTTTCAACAAAACCTAAAATAACGTTTCACCCCGTGGTTATTTTCTTTTATTTACTTATTGTTTATTCTTCATTGATGTGTGTGCTTTGTGGCTGTGTGTATCTGTGTGTAACCTGGGCGCTAATTCTTGTGTCACATGGCAAATCAAATTTACCTGTGGGTATTAATAAATTTACCTTGACCTTGACTGAAAAAAAATAAGAGCTTTATTGGTATCAAAATGCGTCTTTAAAATTCACAGACATATGTGAATTAGAAAATAGTGTTTTTAGCCCCATTGACTTGCATTCATTTTGTTGTTCGTCTGGGCACCCATGGTCTGGAAGTAGATGGGCGTGACTTAGGCGCCCTATAAAGATTATGAATGCTATGTCGCCACGGACAGCGCGGAAGAGACAAGTCGACAAATGGCAGCTCGCGTACTAGCTGACTTGGTGTCTAAAAGAATACAACTTCTGCAGTTTGGGAGTATTTCGGGTTCAAAGCAAACTTAACCCTCTGGAGGCAGGCGTTGCAGACTTGCAACAGTTAAAACCTGCCTACCTGGTTACTCCACGTACGTAATTCATGAGCATTTTTTTTACTCAGAAGTACCCCTGAAGGACTTAGTTGTTCGTCCTTTTATCAAAACTTATTTTGAGCCTGAGAGGGTCAATAACAGAGCCGGTAAACCCTGATGAAGTAATTTGTGCAAACAAATGATGACCGCAAAAGACGCACGCCCCGTCAGCTCAGCAGAGGAGCCGAGGAGTTAAAGCTGAAATAGTAGCCGTGTTTGGAGCCTGCTATTAAAATAGACGACAACACACTTTTCTGGTGCAAATATACTGCCAGCCTCCCCCAGACCCTGCGACTAGCCCCAAGGTCTGACCCACAAACTCATCGAAGTGGGTTTTCCAGCACTGAGGCAAAGCAGTCGGTCTACAACTTCCTGTGTTGAAGCCAGAAAATGTAAACATGCTGGTTTTTCCAGGCTAAAAATGTTTCTATAAGCGGCGTTTAGAAAATTTTTGAATAATGTGTGTTATGTTGTTAAAGTTTTAGTAATAGTACTTGTTATTTGGTTTCTGAACAGTGGAGGTCCAAATCAACAGTTTGGTCATTCCATTTGAGACTTATGTCCTCATTTTTAAATTAGTTCTGCTAATACTGTATACCTCGGTAAAATGTGGAGGAAGTTGGAAGGTATTAAAATGTTGATATCGCCCAAGCATGGCAGGTTGATATAGCAATGTGCCAATGAAGCCTCAGCAGGACTACCACTGGCTTGAACAACTTTAGGACCAGCCAATCACAGCGCTCTATGTTTGTAGAGAGAGGTCAGATTAGCTTAGCACCAGAGCTGTGATGGTGAAAACATAAAAAGATGGTGTTGGCTTAGGAGTGGCGCTCATTTGAAACGGCTTTGGCATCAACTTTGGACGGTTTGGACTTGGGCTTCTCTTTGAGACATGAGCCAATAGAGGTACTTAAATAATTAATTTCATAAACGGATGTACTTGCTTATTATTGTTTTTTAACTGTGAATAGCGGACTGCCCTGGTCGCAGTTTGAAAGAGGGGTGGGCAATATAAACCATATAAGGTAGAAACGATACAAAATTGGGTAATGATGGTGTTTTTGGCTATATCGCAATACCACAATATCGCGATAACACATGACGTCACTAAGATGTGCACCCTGCTGACATCGGGACAACAGAGTGGCAGTGACTGCAAGCATGGAGTGGGCGGAGGAGGAGGCCTATATGCCTCAAGTGGCATATATTTGCCACATGAGGATATGTAAAAGCATGTCATTTTGACATATATAAACAGAGGAAAAAATATATCGCAATATATATCGTTACCGCACATGCTTCAGATTATATCACAATATAGATTTGAGGCCATATCGCCCAGCCCTAGTTTGAAAAACAACCAAATATAGGAAGTAGGGCTAAGTAACACATAGAAAATGTATCGTTATCAAAATTTCTGACTCTTATCCAGGATTTTTCCCATGTCAACAAATTTGGTCATAAAAAAATTAAAAGAGGTGTGTATGTTGGCAACACTCAGGTTCCCTAAAGACGCTGAACCACCTTGAGTCATGTAAAAATGTGACTCAACGTAATTCATGTGACAGCCCCATCTAGTGGACCACTTTTGTTTCTGCGCATACAAGCAGTTATCGTCCATTTATCGTTATCAGGTGAAATCCTCAATATATCGTGATATTGATTTTAGGACACAAAATAAACACTGTACATGTAAATTTTCTACACAAAGTACTGCAGTATTTCAGAGTATTGATAATGTCTTACATCCATATTTTCTACACAAATTTAACCTAAATCTGTTGCAGCTGAAATACCAAAACCCAACCAATGTGTGTAGACCTAATTAATTTATGAAAGCACGAGGGAAGAATACACAACTACATAAATCTTAAGATTGTTTAAAGATAAAGTCAGTAAGTTCACTATTCTCAAAACATTTTCAGAAATATTCTTTCTCCGAGTGACTTCGACAAGACGAAATGATTGGTTGAATAATGTTTTGGGCAGCCATGGAGAGCAAAACTCCAACTTGAGTCCACTCTAAAGGCCATAGAAGGAGAGAAGAGGTGAGCTGGGTAATAATAGAAAGGCTAAGACACAGCATGCCTGCAGTCACTGGTGAGGGAATAGAAAAGAGCCTGAGTCAGGCTGTTGGCTTGCTTTATCTGGAGAGGGGCAGCCAGACCGCTAAATTATAAATAGCGAAGTCTACCCAGTTACTATAAATACAAAGCCAGTGACACCGACACTGACAGTTTAAACATTGGGCATGGCAAGCCGCAAAACACCTCCGGCAGAGGAGGGACAAGAGGAAGCACTAACGTAAAAGTCACAAACAAGTCAAAACACCTACATGTTTCAAGCACCTCTCCTTCAATTTCTCTACAGTGGTGTCTTCTGTGACCTCCTCTAACCACTCCGTGCCGTCCATGGTGCAGACGTGTATCTTTAACACTTTCCCGGCAAATATTTTCTCCTCCTGCACGAACATAGCTGCAGTAGGCGTTGGAAGTCCCAGTCCTGTGACGTTAGCGAGCGGTTGCTAAGTGCTCTTCTGGCTCAGCTAGCGTGCTAACGTTAGCACCCAGCGTCGTTGGGAGGTCCGACGACAACAGAGAAGGAAGAGGCGCCGATTAGCTGAGGTCCATTTTCGGGTTCCCGGAGCGGTTGTCGATGCGGTGGCAACGAAGCAGCGCGTTCCCTGGGCTCCAACTTGTTTGGTTTCTGCTGTTAGCACCTAAGCAGCAACCAGCGAATATCCTATCCTTACTGTAGTGTTTGAACTCTGAACTGCAACTGTAGCATCAACGGTGCATTGTGGGAATTGGAGTTTTTTATTAGTCAAAGGACGCTTTATTGTAGAATACAGCAAAAAGAAGCGCAAAAACACATTATAATTTAATGCCAGTTATTTTGTTATTATTGTTTAGTGGAGCTTTTATTTTGTATTCGCTTATACTGGAAGATTACACCCCTAAATGTCAATTATTTAAAGTAAGGCTAAACATTTTGTTCTACTTTAAGCTAAAGTTTTAACATGGATCTAGGTGATTGTTGGGTTAGAAACTTGACCAGTTTCATATTTGACACCACTTTTCAGCCCTCTACCTGCCAGATACTGCACTTAGCAGTGTTGTAGAGAGGGTAGGTGTTGTAGGGGGTGCTCTTCTACGTGCATTATTTCTGTGCAAGTAGCTTTTTCAGTTTGCTGATCATCAATAAAAAGTACAAGAAGAAGAACGAGCAGAAGTTTGTATCATAACGGAGCCTGGAAGTAATAGTAAGAAAGTAGTACCAGGACATGAACCATTTAAGAACAGGGCCCACATGACTCCAGATGAGACAGCAGAATGTCATGATTGACGGTATTTTATTTATTTATTTATTTATTTATTTGCCTTTATTTATTTATTTGCCTTTATTTATTTATTTATTTGCCTTTATTTATTTATTTATTTATTATTTTTTCTGCCTTTATTTAACCAGGTTGGTCCCATTGAGATACAAGATCTCTTTTGCAAGGGAGACCTGGTAGCAGCATGGGTTACAACATTAATACGTTCACATTTAAATACATTTCCACATAAACTCAATTAAAACATGAACACACTGATAGTCTGGATTCCAATGACTTAATCAGAGTCTTAAATCTACTCAGGGAAACCAAATCCTTGATTTTTAGATCGTTCTGTAGAGAATTCCACGTAGATGGAGCAGCAAAGCTAAAAGCCGTCTTTCCCAGCTCTGTGCGAACCTTGGGAACAACAAATTGCAACAGTTCACTTGAGCGGAGGCTGAGCTGATTCTGCTTTCTTGACAAAAGATATGATAAATAAAAAGGCAAATATCCACATACAGCTTTGTGAATAAAAACATACCAATGCATGAGTCGACGAACCCGCAATGAAGACCAATTCATTTTTGAATTTAACAAACAATGATGGGTAAGAGGCCGACAGTTTGTTATAAAGTGCAAGGCACAATGATACACACTGTCCAACATGCTCAAACAGTGCACATGGGCATTCATGTACAAGATGTCTCCACAGTCTATTACAGACATGAATGTTGATTCTACTAACCTCTTTTTTACCGTAAAAGAAAAGCAAGATTTATTTCTGAAATAAAATCCTAATAAAAATCTCAACCTTTTTGTTAAATACTGGATATGGAGCTTAAAAGATCAATTAAGAAACCCAGATATTTAAAACTAGAAACTAGTTCAATCTGATGACCCAGACCACTAGAAATGGACCTATTCTCCGTTTTTCTTTTTGGCTGAGAGAAAAACATAAGTTTAGTTTTATCAGCATTTAGTACAAGCCACAAATGGCACAATTGTTCTTGCACTTGATCAAATGCTGATTGAAGATCCTGAAATGCCTTTGTAGAGTTTGGGGCAGAACAATAAATAACTGTATCATCTGCATAAAGATGTAATTTAGCATTTTGAATACTTAGACCAATGCTATTTATGTAGAGGGTGAAAAGTAATGGACCAAGAATTGATCCCAGCAGCACAACCTGCAGAGTCCCGGGAGATATCGACAGCAAGCCCACAGGCCCGCCCGCAGCCTCCCACCCCCTAGCCGTCCGAGCCCGGGACCCAGTGACCTGGGACCCAGGGGCGACCACCCCCGCCGGGGACCCAGCAGAGCCCAGGGACCCAGACCCCACCAGGCTGCCACCGGGATTGGTCAGGCAGACGCCAAAAATCTTAAACTCTCTGACCCGGGAGCCACGATCCAGGCAGACCAAGGCACCACACCCCACACCAGGTGTGGCGGGGGGGTGGGGGGTGGGGGGGGGGGATTTCAGTTGTTTTAGGGCTTTCTTTACCTCAAATGTTGTAAACAGTTTAAAGTTGAAAACATCAATATTATTGTTTCTGACCATGCTAGATTGTTGAGGTTGACAGTTTTGTGGATGACATGATGAGCCTGAAGTGCTTTACGTACGTGGAGTAACCAGGTAGGTAGGTTTTAACCTTGCTAATCTGCAACACCTGCCTCCAGAGGGGTAAAAACCCATAAAAGAGCATTTTCGGGGCTGTGGCGTGCCTTGCAGCCTGACTGAAATTGATCTGAAATACAATGCAAGGTCAATTAATCCTGTAGCTGAGAATGAACCTCTTTCCCCAGGACCTCTGACAAAAAACGAAGCTTAGAAATTGGCCTATCAAGTCGGATCAAAACTTGGCTTTTTTAATAGTGGTCTCACATCAGATTGTTTAAAACACAGAGGGACACAGCCTGAGAGGAGGAGCTCATGGACAACAGTACTGCTAAGAGCCTGTTTAAACATAAGAGGTGGAACGCAGTCCAGAGGACAGAAAGAAAGCCTGTCAGACGATGAGTAATGACTGATGAGTCCTCCAGCCAGACTGGTTGAAACTGGCACCAGGACGTTAGACAAGACGGAAAAGAAATAGGATCTAAAACAGAAGATATAGAAATAGCAGATCTGATCTGTGTAATTGTATCCAAGAGAAGGCTCAAAAAGCTGTCCCGTAGCTCCCGAGAGGGTTAAAGCTCCTGAGAGGGTTCACGCTACTGCGACTGATAGGGTTCACGGTACTGGTAAAAGCTCCAAACAGTACTTGAGGTGTGTGGCTATTTGTGGAAACAAGATTGCACATGAATGAACTCAGATTGTGTCCTGGTCAGCCTGAAGCGGACCACCTCGGTAAGAGAGCTGAAAAACAGTTCGGGTTCACCCTGAAAAAAGGCAGGCGAAGCTAACGTGGACTCTCTGTGTGCCATGCAGAGCCGATGCTAGCGGGAAAGGCCCGTATGGTTCTTGACTAGCCAGGGAACACCTTGGGATTCCCCCAGAGGAGCTGGCCCAAAGCGCTGGGGAAAGCAAAGTCTGGGCCTCTGCTTAGGCTGCTGACCTCAGACAAGCAAAGGAAAATGGATGGATGGAAATTGAAGCTTGCAAACTAAGCAGAACCCATACTAACTGTCCCCCATGGGTAAACTGCACTTATGAACACTCAGCATTACATGACGCATCGATGTTGATTACCGATGTTGCATTCATTTTTCTGCTTGACAGCAAGAAGCCACATTCTGGCTTTAAAACCCATGGATCCAAACGGACCTGCTTGCAGTTCTGACGTGCTCCTATGAGGTAAAGTCACTTTAGAGGTTGCCCTTCAAACGGGTTTGGTGCATTTTTACACCAGAAACAAACAAAAAACAAAGCTTAAATGGCATTTTTAGATATACTACAAGAGAATGAATCAGCTGTTAAAGAAGATGGTATGTAACAGTGAAACAGGTCTTTAAGGTCAAATTTTAAATGAATTACAAACTCCTAAAATGCTGTAGAAGTCGGTGTGCTGTCTGGCTGTGCAGAGCAGGCGTACTCGCTCATCTTGGACCACTAGATGGAGACAAACTACGAGCAATAACTGTAAAAACAAGTTCAGGACACACAGGTGCCCTTTATTCCAGCCAGAAACGTTTACACGGTTTCGGTATACAGAAAGAAAATATATTTATTGCAAATTATAATTTTACAGAGAAAGCAAACATACTGTAAAAAAAATCACTAGAACCTAACACTTTTTCCCAAGAACATTTCAAAAATCAAAGCAAGTGCATCTCACAAGATACTGACGTGGACACAAGTGAGAACGTAGAAATTAGTTAACACACGAAAACGGTTTCTTCTGTTACAGAACAGCAAATAAATATGAATTTATAAAACCTCATTATTTATGCATTTTTCTTTTTTTATATCCCAAAATTTTACCAAACAATATAACGAATCTATTTGTATACAGTTGAAATGTATTTGTGCCGAGGGGCTTGAAAAATTACAAAATATAGGATCTGTTCCGATTCGCCTGTTAGAGGCATGTGACTGGTGCAAGAGCTATTTAATGCATGCTGAAGACATAAGATTTCTTAAACAAAATCTCGCTTACGAGGGAAATGCAAAGCACATTTACAGTAGGAGGGACACAGCCATAGGCTCGAACTCGTTGGAGGAAGATAGAAAATAAGGTTTCCTGTTCCCTCGGGACAACAAATAAACACTGTGGCCAACGGGCCAGGTCTCCAACACCACAGGACTAACGCGACCTCCCCAACATGGCTGTCATATCCAATACATCACCAACCAATCACAGCTCTGCACATTTAACGCAATCCCAAAAGGGCAGCTCGTTGCTGCAGGTTTGCGCGAGTGTGGAAACGGTTCCTCAGAATCACCAAAAATAAAGAAAAAAGAAACCATTTTTACTCGTGTTCCTTTAACATTCACAGCGTAACACTGAAACCTCAAATGTGCCTTTTTAATCACAATTCTCACCATGAACAAGATTATAGATAGGCACTGGCAGAACAGGAAAAGACTTAAAGTCCTTAGGAAAATAAATAGCCAGTGTGTTTGGGACTTCACTGCAGAAAAGGAGGAGAACAGTCCCCCCCCCCCCCCCCCCCACGGAGCAATCTCTCCTAAACGGACCTACAACCAGGGACACGTCACTCAAGCTACATAAATACGACTGTAATAAATAAAAAGACAGGCTGCTGTTGTAGAAAAGCTAGTAAATTCCTGTTTAATCTGATTTTATTTGAACGTTCTTCACAGAATCGCGTTTTCATAAAAAAAAGGAGACATATTTAAATATTTACAGCAACTCCTCTGGGTTGAACCTTCTATTTGAACTGTTCTGATATGTGTCCAATCTGAGACTGCATGCTGGTCGGGGGACTGGAGATGCCCTCTGACCAGTCAGACATGTTGGAGTGAGGAGACGAACTGGACCACTGGTCAGGGGAGCCGGGGGACGGGGTCAGGAAGGGGTGGTCAGGAACCTGGACCTGGTGGTTTGGGGTGTTGTCCATTGGGGCTGAATAGCTGTGCTGGGAGGGCGGGGTGAGAAACTGGGTGCTGGGCATCGACTGGTTGATGGAGGAGGGAATGATCTGGGTCTCCTGCGGAAGGATGGTATGGATTGGCATGTTGGTGGGGCCTGTGCCCTGCTGGAGTTCTGGAGAACTGAGCTCCCCGCTGATGAAGTTTTGGCTGCTGGTTGCGTTGGAGCTTTGATGCTGCAGCTGGATGCTCTGCTGTTGAAGCTGCTGGAGGTTCTGCATCTGCTGCATTTGCTGAGCCTGCTGCTGCATCAGGTGGGCCTGAGGACCCAGTCGGGGGTTCTGCATCCCCTGGTAGGTCATCATCTGGGACAGGCTGGAATTTGGGTGGCCATTGTGCAGCGAGGTCGTGATCATCCCATGTTGGCCACTTTGGTGCAACCCTCCCTGACCTCCAGGAGCTCCTCGCATCGGGTTGAACTGGCCTGGCTGACTCAAGCTGCCGTGCATCCTGGACAGCCAATCACATTGGCCATTCATGGCTGCCTGACCGCCAGAGCCAGACACGGGTAGGTGGGTGAGACGAGGAGGCAGCGGGTCGAACTGCATTCGCGCCAGCTCCTGCTTGTTAGGCAGCACCATGTGGTTCACGCCCAGGTGAGGGTCGGACATGGCCTGCAGATGGCTGAGGGACACAGATGGAGACTGCTGGAAAGGCGAGGTCATCATAGGCGGAGAAGCCACATCAGAAACGTAGCCATGCGGAGACTC